CACACACCCAGCCCCGTCGTCTCACCCGGGCACGGAGGAGGCCCGAAGCGCTGCAGGCAGCTTCTGCAGCACTTGTTGTCCGGGTTCCAGTATTCAAGGCGGCCGCAGTACTGGGAGGCTTCGGGCGGTGGCGCCAGGGCCAGGAGCAGCAAGGCTGTGAGGAGGCGGCGCCCGGGTCCCATCTGGGGGACTTGCAACGACAGCGCCTCTGCTGCACCTTCCGGGAGTTCGGGCAGAAGAAAGACGCGGTGGGCGTAAGGGGAACTGGAGCTGGAAATCGGCCCCTTTTCCTCAAGCCAGCTCCCAGCCCTTTATCAGAGAAGCCCACAGGGCCTCAAGGGCGCGAAGAGACAGGTGAATCCATATCCCACCTCCATCAAGTCCTCGCCTATCCTCCCTCCCTTTCTCATCCCTGTCATGGGACTATGATAGCACCTGCCTCATAAGGCTATTGCAGAGAATTAGAACCGTTCTTAGAAGTAATGCACCCTGTCAACCGCAGTGGTGTAAGCCTGTGGTCCCTGCTACTAGGGAGGGTGAGAATGGAGGCCAGCCTGGGCAACATTGGAAGACATTGTCTCTTACAAACATAAAATATCACGCCTGTAATCCCAGCACTTTGGGAGGCAGAGGACAGTCTGAGCCCAGGGGTTCGAGATCAGCCTGAGCAACTTGGCGACACCTCATCTCTACAATAAATCAAAACACTAGCCAGGCGTGGTGGCACATGCCTGTGGTTTCAGCTATCACCTGAGCCCAGCGGGTCTAGGCTGCAGGGGCACTCCAGTCTAGATGACAGAGTGAGACTCTGACTCAAAAATAAACAAATAAATAATAAAGCACGTAGAATGGCACCCAGCATATAACAAACTCAATTTAAGTGTTAGGCATTTCCGACTCCTCCCTCAGGGCAGCAGGCACCAGGGACACTTACTTGCTGCAGACTGACTCCCAGCCACCTCACCTCACCTCCTAACCCTAATCTCTGGGGTAGGACTCCTCTAACCTGCCACACAAGGCACTTCCCCTTGAAGGAGCCTCAGATGGCGGTGCTGAAGTTTCCGGCACAAAGGCGTTCCCACCCCACCAGTACCATTAGGGTCCTGGGTCCCAAGCTGGCCGCTCCCCCACCTGTTATTCGAAGTTCGTCAGCTGAAGTTGTGGCCGGAACCCAGCCTTACTTCCCCTTTACAGCATTATCCTGGTGTGGGTGGAAGGAAATGCCAACCCACAGCTAGAAGCCAGTTAACAATAAAGGCCTAAACCCTCAATACAGAACGTTATTAGGTGAGGGGCAGTAGAAGGTCTTTGTGAACAGATTACATTATGAGCCCCAAAGCCTGGGGAAAAGGGCTGGAGAATGAAGGGGACTTGGAGTAGGGGTCCCGGCCAGGAACATCTGTGCCTGTCGGGGGGTAAGGGCAAGAGAATCAGAGTCTCAGAAGTGGCCGTGTTGGTGATTTGGGGAATGCCGTTGCTTCCTTTCTCGGGGACAGTGGCCAGTATGAGACCTGGGGGGAGACCTGGGAACAGGAATGGAGAAAACTGGGTTGGAGGCACACGGAGTTGTGCAAAGAGCCTGCCTGTCTGCTCTGGGATGGGTCTCCGTGTTGAACAGATTACATCGTTGAAGTGACTAGAGTTGTAGGTGGTAGTCTCAGGACAGGTAGTCAGTGGACAATATCAGGGTTGGCAATTCAGGTTGATCTTGGATTTGAGGTTCAGGCTGTTTTGGGGATTGGGACTTACATGCTAGTCTCAGATGGGGCTCGGGACGATTCTTAGGGTCTATGAGTCTTGGGACACTGTTATTAAGGTTTGGGGTCAGGCTCATCTCAGGGTTTGGGAGCCTTAGGGTATGAGGAGTCTTGGCAGGCTGATCCTGAGGTATCTGCGCCTGGGTCTCCACCCACAGAGCTGCAGCTGGAGGTTCCAGGAAATGGGTTGTAGGTGCATGAAGTTTCAGAAACCACTATGGAGACACTCCCTGGGTAGAGGTAGACAGATGGAGGAGGTCATTGGCTCTGATAGGTCCTACCACACACTCGAAGTCTGGGACTTCAAGAGCTTATTCACCCTTGCACACCCACACCCCATCTCATACTGCCGACAGCATGATTCCCAGAAGTCAGTGACAGAGACAGCTCAGATGGCACAGCCTGCCCACTGAACCAGTGGTTACTGAGTTCAGCCACTGCCCACTCTGTATCCTCCTCCCACCGGAACTGAGGGGAACATCAGTCAGGATCAGCACAACAATTCAGATTTTCAGGGGACTAGTTAGTAGCTCTGGGGATGGACTGGATTCAGTGATGGACCTCAAGCTGAGAGGTTTCAGTGGTGACCATCAGGTGTTGAAATGCCTCCACCTCTTGGGTCCTAAGGGGGCTGGAGGACAGAAAGCACCTTGACATAGACATTGCCCACGAGGTGGTCCCCAGGTTGTCGCACACCTTCTTCTCTTCAATCTCCCCATACTTCACCTGCAGTTCTGTGAACACCTCCTGTAGAAGATGCGGAGGGATTCAGCTAAGCTCCTGGTCCACAGGAAACCCAACCTGCCTCTGCCAACCCTCACCTCGAAGACGTTACCATAATGTTCCTGCACCTCCACATCGTCGCTCGCATGACCTGCAGGAGGGGCAGGGTGGAATCAGGGAGTGGCCTGCTGGAAGCTGTGCACCCTGCCCCCAAGCCTACTCCCTTACTCACAGCGTGATCCATCTGCGGTTTGGGCCGTGTTCTGTGGATTCCGGTATAGACGGAGCGGCCCTACAATCTGAACAGAATTTAAAAGGAGCGGTACCTGAGCTACAGGGCAGGGCTGCATGCAAAGAGGATGGGATATGCGGTTGGACGTGGGACCCTGCACCAAAGAAGGAGTCTAAGCATCGTGAGTGCATCAGCGATGCTTGTCCCTGAGAAGCCAGGATAGGGATTCGGGAACCCGGCAATGACGGGTAGCCCTGGGGTGCCACGGGGGCGTGGCCAAGGTTCCTGGGAAAAGCGCCTGAAGGTTGGGGGCGGAACCTGCGGGGAGGTCCAACGAAAAAAAAGCTGGGAGGTAGGGCGGGCCTTAGAAGCCCAGAAGAGGCGGGATCTTGTGGTGATGGACGGAAGGAAGGGAAGGGCCGGGGGGGCGGGGGGGGGGCGTTAACTCCCGTGGTTCCGTGCCGGGCCTCACCAGCCTGAAAGACGATTCGTTGTGAAGCCGGAGTATCGGTCCCCGTGCCGGCCGACCCCGGTCTTAAAGTAAAAAGAGCAGCTAACCCTGGAAAAGGTGCAAAGACCGAGGTGAGCCGAGGGCCGGGGAGGCCAGGCATCCCGGAAACACGGCACCGAGTCGCCCAGCCACCAAGGACCCAAGTGCCCCGCCCCCTCGCCCCCGAGAGGCCACTCCCCGCGCCCATTCTCTCGGGTCCTTTTCAGTCTCGAATACCGGAGCTAAGTATTCAGCCGTTTTTTACCCGAATCCTCCCATTCTGTCTGCTCCTTACGTCACTTCCGCTTCTTAGGGCGTTGGGAAACGTAGTTCGTTGGGGCCTCTTGGCGCTCCGCACGCGCTCGGACCTTCCCTACTGCGCTTGCGTATTGGAGGCCCCGCAGACACACCCGCAGGCGTTCTCTGAAAGCGCATGCGTGCAGCGTTGCCTCGCCAAAAAAAAAAAACACAAACTCCAGAGAAACCTGGGGCATCTCGCGCAAACGTCCGTAGTTGAAAGCAGCAGAGGCCTCCCGGCCGGAGGAAGTAAGCTCCACTGGTGAGTTGGGGTCCTTTAGCTCATCGCAGTAAACATAAAGAACTGCTTAACCCAGCCAACTTGCTGATGAGGGCGGCGGTAGCCTTCTTCCAACAACCCACCTTTAAATTGATCTGATTTGTCGTAATAGGGGCGTGGTTGTTTCTGATCCTTTCCTATGTCAATTAGGGTCAAGGCTTGGGTCTTGCTCTGCGCCTCCTTGGGACGACCCGGCCCAGCGCAACTATGAACTTGGAGCGAGTGTCCAATGAAGAGAAGTTGAACCTGTGCCGGAAGTACTACCTGGGTAAGGGCAGATCCCTGAGGGTCCCAGGAGAAGAAAGGGAACTGGACTAGAGCGCCTGAGGGAAGAGGGCCTAGGGACCTGGATTCCTGGGTCTTAGAGATGAAGCGCCACGCCTGTAATCCCAGCACTTTGGGAGGTGGAGGCGAGAAGATTGCCTGAGTCCAAGAGTTCGAGACCAGCCTGGCCAGCGTGGCGAGACCTCATCTCTACAGTCAATCAAAAAAAATTAGCTGAGCATGTGGCGCAAGCCTATAGTCCCAGCTACCTGGAAGGCTGAGGCAGAAGGACCGCCTGAGCCCAGCCGGTCGAGGTTGCGGTGGCCACGATCGTGCCACTGCACGCCCCAGCCTGGACGACAGAGTGAGACTCCAACTCAAAAATAAAGAGTTGAAGCAACTGGGGACTCCAGTTCCAGGATCTGAGGGTAGGGAGGGCCTGGGTTCTGAGGTAGGAGGAAGTTGGGGTCTCAATTTCTGGATCCCAAGAGAGGAGGGGATTTGGGGAATTGGACTCTTGGATCCTGAGAAAAGGGGGATGAAGAACCAGGTTCCGGCCCGGCTCCGTGGCTCAGCCTGTAAGCCCCCGCCTTTGGGAGGCTGAGGTGAGTGGATTGCCTGAGCCCACAGGTTCGAGACCCGCCTGGGCAACTTGGCGAGACCTCATCTCTACAATAAATCAAAAATCAGCCGGGCGTGGTAGCGCGCTCCTGTAGTTCCAGCTACTTGGAAGGCTGAGGCGGAAGGATCGCCAGAGCCCAGCAGGTTGAGGCTGCAGTGACCGGGAGCGGCCACTACACTCCAGGATGGGCGACAGAGTGAGACTCCAACTCAAAAAAATAAAAAGAATCAGGTTCCTGGATGCTAGAGAGGAGCCAAATGCCTAAGTCTCTGAGAGCAGAGATCTCCATTTGAACTTGGGTGTTGGAGAGTTTCTTCCAAATAGGTCTTCCAGATGGGAGTTAGGGAAGATCCGTATTGCCTTATGATCCAGTATGGTTTTTTCTTCCTAGGTGGGTTTGCTTTTCTGCCTTTTCTCTGGTTGGTCAACATCTTCTGGTTCTTCCGAGAGGCCTTCCTTGTTCCAGCCTATACAGAGCAGAGCCAAATCAAAGGCTGTGAGTCTAGAGCCCAGATGAAAGGAGGACAGTGGGTGGGGAAGGGTGAAGTAGGGATCCTTGGGGGGAGGGAATGATGGGGGATCTAGAATTCTGAGACTCTGGGAGCAAAGAGAAGTTCAGTCCAGACTGAATTTCCAACAAGAGAAGCCGGAGGCCAACCCTCCCTCCTCACTCCTGTTTCCCATTACAGATGTCTGGCGCTCAGCTGTGGGCTTCCTTTTCTGGGTGATTGTGCTCACCACCTGGATCACCATCTTCCAGATCTACCGGCCCCGCTGGGGTGCCCTTGGGGACTACCTCTCCTTCACCATACCCCTGGGCACCCCCTGACAACTTCTGTACAGACATGCTTATTCTCCCTGGATGGGCTCCTCTGCTCTGAGTTCACTCTCTAGCCCCTAAGACTTGTTTCCATCTCTTGTGTTCTCTGCTGATGTCCCCCAATAAAGAATCCTAACCTTCAATATTGCTTTCTGGAATCTTCTGGAGGTTGAAGCATAAAATGGTTATTCATACTCAGAAACATTTATTGAGTGCTTACTTTGTGCCCGGCCTAGTATTTCACACCTTACATGCATTTTTTCATGCCTACTACTCATAATCCTCTGAAAGTGGGACTTTACTGCTCAAGAATATCTCAGCCTACACAGACAGAGCCAAATCAAAGGCAGTGAGTCGAGAGCACAGATGAAGGTAGGTCTGTTGGTGGGGAGAGGGGGAAGTAGGGATGCTTGGTGGGAGCCCTATTGATGATGGAACCCTGTAACATGAGAAACCAAGCCAGGGATAATGCTTCCACTACTAGAGGCTGTTATCCTGTACTGGTACTCAATGACATGGCTTTCCTGTTCTGGATCTCAGTATTCTCATCAGAAGTACAAATCACGATGCTATCTCCTAGGATTTATCTGGGCCAGAGCATATGTGATAAATGGAAGTTTTCCCGTTTTCTGAAGGAAGTGTTGTCTGCAGAAACAAAAATATTCAAGAGTTTTCTCAGAGAATCCTTCCTTGATCATTCTATTTAAAATTCAGTCCCTACCTTGATACTCCGTATGTCTCTTTCAGGCTGTGTGGCTGTATTCTTTCTCCTATCACATTTCACTTAAAATATTTTCCTTACTCGTTTACTATTTATCTTCCATCCTCTAAAAGATAAGCTTCATTAGGACAAGGATTTTTTTTTTTTTTTTAAGTAGGAGTTTCACTCTGTCACCCATGCTGGAGTGCAGTGGCACCCTCAAGGCAACCGCAGCCTCGACCTGCTGGGCTCCGGCAATCCTTCCACCTCAGCCTTCCAAGTAGCCAGAACTTGGTGCGTGCTACCATACCCGGTTAATTTTTGATTTATTGTAGAGATGCGGTCTCGCCAAGTTGCCCCAGCTGTTCTCGAACCCCTGGGCTCAGGCAGTTCGCTCTCCTCGGCCTCCCAAATTGCTGGGATTACAGGCTTGAGCCACAGCGCCCGGTAGGGCAAGGAGATTTTTGTCTCTCCTATTCCTTTGAGGTGTCTCCAGTGCCTAGAAGAGTGCCTGGCACACTCATAAATATTTGCTAAATGAATGAGATTGTACCCGAAAAGAGATTAACAGGTAGCTGTCACCTAGTGCTCAGTAAGAGGGAACCCAGCCTAACTCCGCACTCGTCTTCCTCTTAGAACTGGAGGGACTACCAAAGTTAGTTAAATCCCTTAAATAGCTAAAGGGGTGCGCCCCAAACCTTTCAGCACTACAAGTCCCAGAAAGCCTTGCGATGCCCTAGCCTTTGCCATCGTGCCCCGCGCGGCGCAGGCGTCGTTACTCCGGCTGAAATCCGGGAGCTAGAACTACACCTCCCAGGAAGCCGAACGGTAGTTAGTTTGTTTCCGGAAACGAAGTCCTAGAGGGTGGGACCTAAAGTTGGAGCCGGCGGCGGCAGCTGCCAATTGGTCAGGACACAAGATTGACGGCTTCACTAACTAACGGGGATAAGCAACTGCCGAAGAGGCCCGCCCACAGAAGGGAAAGAAGAGAGGCAGACGCGGTCGCGGCTGGACACTGCTCAGGGCGGAGGACCGGTGGGACGCGGAGCTCCTCTGTGACTTCTCCCCGCCCTCCCCCGCCTCGATTCGTGACCCTAGGCCCTTTGGGACTCCTCTGACCCAGCGTGCCAGTTCTCGGACTCAAACCATGTTTCCGGTGAAGGTGAAAGTGGAGAAATCAGGTAAGGACCCCGAGGTTGACAGGGCGTGGGAATCCGGATAGACAGGATTTTCGCGAAAAGGAGACTGCGTGACTTCTTGCAACCTGTCTGACAACCGCTGTATCAAGCATCGAGCGTCTGCTGTCGCCTTCATACCCTCCTTGTCTGTGCCCGAAGTAGCTTTGAGATTGAATGGTGGTAGCTCGGGCAGTGTGGTGCAGGAAGACATGGGGATCCTGTGCCGGTAACTCTGAAAAAGGCCTTTTCCTTGGCTCCACCTGTCTCCTCATTTCCAGCAGTGGTCATGTTTCAGACATTGTGCTGTGACCCTGTACTACAGGGACTCCTAATCCTCAAAAATCACTCTATTCCAGCACATCTAGGAAGGAGGAATTGTGGCCGATAAGGAAACTGAAGTTCAGAAAGAGATCATTTGGGGTTGGTACAAAACTGACCAGATCCCAGGCCTGGCATGGTCCTTACCATGCAGTGAGAGAAGTCCAGAATCCAGACAAGAAGATAATAGTGAAACGATGTCAGCTGTAAGATGGCATGTCATCAAAACAAAACAAAAAGGGAGGAGTTAAGGCGATCAAGAGGGAGGCAGGGTGAGGGAGAGAGCCTTAAGGATACGCGAGGGAACAGCAAATCAGAAAAGGAAATTGCTCTGAAAAGGCCGAGAGGTGGAAGCCTTGTCAGACACTTTCAAGAAACGGAAGGGAAGCCAGTGTGGCTGGAGCAGAGTGAATAGGGTGGAGCGTGTGAGAAGATGGAGACAGAGAGGTGGTAGGGAAGGGGACAGATCTTGTTGGCCCAGGTAAGGGCTTTGGCTTTTGCTGAGGGAAATCAAGAGCCAAAGGAGGATTTACCAAGAAGTGGATTAATTATAATCCTGGCACTTTGGGAGGCCGAGGTGAGAGGATTGCCTGAGCCCACCGGTTCAAGACCAGCCTGGGCAACTTGGCAAGACCTCATCTCTACAATAAATAAAAAGTTAGCCAGGCATGGTGGCATGTGCCTGTAGTTCCAGCTACTTGGAAGACTGAGGCGAAAGGATCGCCTGAGCCCAGCAGG